CAGTTCTCAGATTCTCGGTGGTTGTCAGATTTTGCCTTGCTCACTGATCTCACCGCGAAACGAAATGCGTTTGATACTGAGCTCCAAGGCGAAAACAAGACCGTCATTAAAATGACTGGCGCCGTCGATTCTTCCAAAGGAAATCTGATGAAAGGTGCGCTGACCCACTTTCCAAGTGTTCAGAGTCGCGCGTCTGTCTACGTTCTGTGCATTGATAAACTATTAGAGGAATTTGGTAGAAGATTTAAAAGAATTTGAGGACACGAAGTTCACTGTGTCTTTCATTACTAATCCCTTTCTAGACAGGGATGTAAGTGAGGGCGCCGAACTTATTTCTTCTGTGTTCAAGGAACTTGAGACTGTTAATTTGCAAACACTTATCATTGTAGTATTTGAGGTTTTCACGGCGGTGAGCCTGCAGATGGCTGTCTTCTGGGTTGTAGTTTGCGAACGTTTCGGAGGTCCTTGCTGCTTCCATCATCAGGACAGTGATTGCAAGGAACCCTTAAGACAGCCTCAAAGTCTACGTGGTTTGTCCCCAGAATCCACACAGGTTAGGTTTCTCGCAGCCCTGCTTTAGATGCGCAAATGCACAGCCACGTAGTTATGGCTTCCCAGTCCGAATTACACCATTTTGTAACACCTGTAGCAAAACGCAATAAACCGAGCTTTGTTTGAAGTTGCCGGAAATAAATGTCAAACTAAAGAGTACGTCTGTCTCCTAATTTAGGTTTGAAACTGGACCGTCGTTGTGGTGTGTGAGGAAGTGGAGTCCAGTCGTCACCCCCGCGACTTTTCGTCCATTCTTTATGAGAGCCATCGGGAGTTGGCCGATTGGCTGTACGCCCCGACCCTGCCCCTGGTTGCAGACCGACACGGGCCAAGGTGCAGGGGGCGGCAGGACGTGCGTTTGTCCACAGACGACGCAGGCCGAGAAACCCTGTAACTTTCTTTAGTATTTGCCCCAGCGCAGACGAAGTTGTGGGTGGCTTTTGCTAACTTACGTAACGATTACACGTGCGATGTTCGCTGCTCTGTGTCCGGTTTGCACGGTTATAATTGTTACTGTGGGGGGCAGAACACGGCGTTTGCGCAGTGGTTGAAGGAACAGCGAACCTCAGATAATTGCGCAAACGGACTGGCACCGCGTAGTGTGGATATTGCGCAAAATGGCTAATTGGGCTTACATGTTTTTTTGTTGCTTTGAACTCATTTAACGCCACAATTCAGCGTTACAAAATGATGTTTGCGGATTGCGCATTGTCTGAAGCGCGGTTTATGTTGCGCGCAAACAGAAAACAAATTTCCAGTGTAAGAAATGTGACTATTCGCTTTTCGGCCTGTAATTCGGTTATTTGTAATGGCCTGATAATGAAATTAAGACGGCAGGATGGCTGTTCTACTGTGATCGGAGGTGAGCCTTTAAAACGTCTTGGGTTTTTGTAAATGTTTCCACGAAACGTGTTGTCCCCGTGCAGGGAGCAGTTGTAACACCTGCGAGGGTCGATTGTGATGTCCCCATTATGAATGTTACCCCCCCCCCCCCCTCTGAAACTTCTACTGACGGAATGCTGTATCTTTTCAAAACCACAAAGCAAATCCAGTTTAAATTTCAGAACACTAATAGAGTGATCATTTTGAACATACGGTAATGTACTAGGGTCTTGCGTACAATGCAGCGACTGAAATTAATAAATTAAACAGAAAATTATTTTGTTGTTTTAAAACACGTTCGATCCTGCAACACCAACACCAATCTGAAAGCCCGGAGTTTCTTTTCCGTAGGTGACATCAGGAACACGTTCCTTCCGAGACATATATTGGCCGCTAAAATGAATAATGCATGTGTTAAGACGGATACGTTACAATTGACCGCGGTCTCCCCTATATGTGCTAACTCCTCTTGGTTCGAAAATAACTTCTGTTACCTAGCGATGATATCTTATTCTTTGTTGAGCCGAACAGCGCTGAAGCCTCTTGTAATGCCGGCCTCTGTGTTGTGTGTGTTGCAGCCCCAGTAACACGGCGCTCAGCTCCTTGGACCACCTGAAGGTGTATCTGCAGACACAAGGGACGTGCAAGTGTGGACTCGAGTGTCCGCTGAAGTGCGATGCAGTTTTCAACTTCGACCCCAAGGTAAGGCCAGCGCCACAGTCACGAGCTCGAATCCCGACAGGTGTTTGCATTTTCAGCATTCGTTCGAAGGTGCCGATGTCTGAATTTTGAATAAAATATGACCAACAGACATCGATGTTTCGCTTTGTGAGCGCACATCCTGCTGCCATGTGATTGGGTGGGGAAACACGTGCTATCACATATGCTGTCAGTCCGTCCTGCATCCAGAAAATTTTGTAGTTCTTTCAGAGGTTGTCATCATCGAGCTCGTCTGCGTTTATCTCAGTTTCTGCAACAAGAGGCAGATGCGTTCTTCTGCAGTCGCACTGAGACCGTGGGTTCGAATCCCACTCAACCCATGGATGTTTTTCTGTTGTCCTGTGTACAGGTTGAGGCCTTGCGACGGGCCGATCCCTCATCCAAGGGGTCCTACCAAAATGTGTATAGACCCGCAGTGCAAACGCAGCTCTCTCCAGGAAGGACACGCCGTCCGTGCCGTAACTATTATCAGAGCTAATCTCCCGTTCTGCCTGCAAGTTTGTAGTGACCCCAGGCAGAACACGGCTTCGCACCTGCGCAGTCCGTCAACGAGTCGCTTGGAACTTCTGAACGCGCATGCGCGCTCGTTATGATCGTCACCTGCTTATTACGTGGCAGTTATTCCGTCTTGCCTCCGGCGTGCTTTGTGTGAAGTTTAAATTAACGTGTTCACAGCGCGAGTTTATTCATATTACAATAAAATGCTAATTGCGGACACCCATTTTAAGTCGTAAGATTAATTTGAAAATGGCACAAGTGTTACTGCAGTTTCAGTTTTAATTTACCGGGCCCAGTTACGCCCTGCCCTCAACAGGACGGTCTCACCTGCACCGTCGTGTGCCTTCGGTTCATCGTGAGTCGAACTTTTGTGTTGAGGAGCGATGCGCAGAAAATTTTGGACAGGAAGTCTATTTTCGAGTCCACAGGAGCAGGAGAGGGAAACTCAAGTTTGATCGCACGGGGGGATTTGTTGTCGTGGGGGGGGGGGACTTTTATTTTTGAAGTTAATTGGGTCTAACGTCTCAACAGTTGAGAACTAATTGAGTTCCTCTTCATCGGGCTTTGTGGTCTGTACGTAATGTGCGTTGGCCCATGCGTTAGTCTGTGAGACTCGTTGGTAGACGGTCATAGGATCGAATCCCGCTCTACTTATAGTTTCGATATTTTTCTTGTTAGGTTTTTTATTATTAGTGGTAGTATACTAGCAGCAGGATAGCGTACTAATTATTACTTTTCATTTGGAAATAAGCAGCTTAAGCTTGGCGTACGTAACCTCAGAGGTCCCCACCGTCGCCATGGTCCAAGTTCTGGTCTTAGCGTAGAAGACGCTGTTTAATACGTACGTAATTATTGAGATATTTTTCCTCCGTCGTCATAGAAACTCGCTCACTCGTGGGTTAGGTTTGCGTTATTTTAGAACGTCTATTTTTTATGACGTGTTGTGTCCGTCCTACCTCAGAAGTTCGTGCTGTTGTATTCCGTCATATGCTCTCGGTTCTTCCTTCAAAAAATAAAGTGGCCAGAACCGCTGTAAGACTCCGGAGGATATTTTGTGTCGCGAATTCCGAAAGAGTGAAGCGCGTGGTATAACCAGTCCGATAATGCGAACTGCTTTTGTTATCGACGTCAGAGGCGTGCAATCGCGTAGGACGCAAGTGATAAGCACTGAAAAATCTGTGTGTGTGTCTCGACGTAATGACGCCATCTGCCGATCAGTGGCGTACCGCTGTTCACTGATGTTCCAGCAGATTGCAGCTCGTTCCGTCATTGCACGCGCATCAGAATTGTAGGCCAGGAACCCCCGCATCCTCTCAGCTGTTCCAGATGTCACTGAAAGCGATCAGTTTCTTTAAATAGCGTGCGACGCACTTGGCCTAAACCGCGTAGGATGAAGTTCCGTGGCGCCTGGCGCTGGGCGTGGATGGAGGAATGCGAGAAGCGGCCAACGTTTTAGTCGAGAAAAGGAATTTGAACGGCTATGAAGGACGCGGATCCAAGATATCGATCGATTTTGGCTGACCGAGGCACAGCGATGATGCGTCGAAGGTGACAAATGACTGTGGGGGGGGGTATTTTTTTCCTCGAGGACTGTCAGATTCTGGAGGAAGCCCGTACTCGTGGGGGTTACCCCCCCCCCCATAAAAAACCCGTTCTGTCACAGATGCCAGGATGTCACTTTGAAACATGGCTCAGAGCGCACGTAGCTGCTTCCTGGTGCATCACACACAAACACACGCTCTGCAAAACGTCTGCACTGAATTAATTTGAGCGCACGTGGAAGCATGGATAATCCTTGGGTTTCCTTATTGTCGCTAGTAACTTTATTTCTGTGTAGGATTTGAGGTTTTTTGGTGGCGGTGAGTCAGAGGATGGCTTGTCTTCTGGGTTGTAGCGCCGTGCAGTCTGGTAGAGTTTTACCGACGTTTCGGAGGTGCAGCAACCGAGAAGACAGCCATCAACTTCCTTTCCACCCCGCTCCTTCCCAGCTGCTGCAAACCCTGCGATGATATTACGACGCCGCTGCTGGTGAGGCGTGCCCTTTCAACTTAAAATGAGCCCCAGACCTTGGGTCGTTCGTTTAAGATGTGATTGTGTTCCGTCTGTTTTTAAATAACTGCTTCTCGTTTCTCGTTACCTTTTCGACAGATTGCACTGTCAGGGTTCAAAAACTGCTGCCTGACAAATGGATTCGTAGTGCACTCATGCACTGAGCGGTTCTTGGACTCCCATTCGGCGCTGTCTGCTGCACGCACCAATTACAGCCAGATGCTTATCTTTGACGTCTCTGTGTGAAATTTAATGTTTCCTGTTTTTTAGTTTGGTGAATTAATTCTCTCTCTCTCGGGATAAACATCGTTCTCTTGTGGGAGCTGCGACTTTGTAAGGATCGCAGTCGTAAGCAGAAACCCCATTAAACTGATGTGTAAAAATGTCTCGCAGTGCAAAATATTTTCCGTGTATGAAGTCGATGTAATTTTTTTCAAGTAAGAACTAACCGTCTTGGCTGAACCGTGTTTTTTCTCCACGTTCAAATCTCGTAAAGGAAATTCTGTTTTGTTAACTTTATGACTTCATATTAGTAGTACTTTCTCATTAAAGAGTGGCCAGAACTACCTGTTTGACACTTTTTCCTGTGACTGTTCAACACAGTGCCGGTCTTAGACGCCTCTTCTTGGGGGTTTCAGTAATGAGACATTCGGTAGGACTCCTTGGACGAGGGATCGGCTCGTCCTGTACCCAGGACAGCATGGCTTGTGTGGGATTCGAACCCACGGCCCACGCCTCAGACCGCGCGGTGACTGATGACCGTCTACCTGTTTTACACTCCGTGACTTTATTCCATTTTCGACACATTCCGAGACAATTTTACCTGGAAGTCAGCAAGAAAATTCTTAGACGCGGTAGCAGCAGCAGGAGTACCAGATTCGGGGCCGTTGCCCTAGTCCATATTACAAGGGCACCAGATAATGCATCTACCTCACCCGAAGGTCACTGCAGACGAAGGTGTAATGGGGTTTTAATTACTGGGCCAGCGAGGTCACCTACTCCAACCCCATGAACACAGCAACTGCTCTCTCTCTCTCTCTGTTATCCTCCTTTACCCGTAGGTGTCGAGGCTTTATTTATTCGTTTTGATCTATTTGGGCGGTGGTAGGACTCCTTGGATGAGTGGTCAGCCCGACGCAAGGCCTCTACCTGTAGAAACACAGAAAGACGCGGACAAACATCCATGCCTTGAGTGGGACTCGAACCCACGGTCCCAGCGGCCGGCTCTCTCTGGAATTGACAAGGGGCGCGTTGAGATCTGCACGGAATGAAAAATGACGCGATGAAGGTTGGATTTCGCCAGATTGCTCGTACTTGGTTACGAGAGCGAGCAAAGGAAAAGTTCGCCATTTACTCGGTTGTCTGTGGGCCGCCTGACTGCAACCCCCACGTCACTGCTTGTTCCACTCCGGGAGTGACCACGGCCACTCGTATCCAGTCTGTTTACGCCGTGGACGCTGAAGATTCCAGAGTCCCCTTCGAGACGTTGCACGTCGCATACTCGCCACGTGAGGGCCCCGCACCGCGGACGATCCTTCTCAGCATCGGCAGTCTTTGCGAATTTCTGTCTTTTTAAAGACTTCGTGCTAATTCAGTCCACGTGTCACCCCGGACACGTGTACCAGGGTTTTGCTTCGGCGTTTGAGGGCGTGGTGCCAGGTGTCCCGATACTCTTTCACGCACCGGGTGACCCGGAGTGTTGCTTGAGCCCCCGACCCGGCTTGTCCGGATCGCGTTCGACAGCGCTCCCGACTGCCGTTATGAGGAACTTGGACTGGCCGGTAAATTTTATAATATTCACAGTTAGAATTGATTGCACGCAAGTAGCCTCGAACACGAGTCTTCGGAGTGGAATAAACGCGCCAGTCGTTTCTTCTGATGCTTTGCAGTTCCTTCTTTGTCGAGGGTGACAAACGATTACCCGCCGCTCTTGGCGCACGCAGAGATTTGAACGCGCAGAATTAACACGCGCCTGCAGGAATGGAAGGTGGCTTTTGACTTACGCGCCGACGTTCTCACTCGTCTACGTTCAGCACATCAGATTACTGCCTGATTCATATTCTTTTCATTGTGTTGGGTTCTTTGCATAATTCGTCCCGGACGTACGCACTTATAATTAAGGGACGTGGAGAAAATCCTCACAAAAGCAAATTGGGCATGACTGGCGTTATAAAGCCAGGTTTGCTCACTCCAGTCCGCTTTTGGATTTCGAATATTTTGGGCGGCCGTACACCCGTCATCCTTGACTGCCCACCCTTTCGTCTCTTTCTGTCTTCTTGTGGCCAATGAAGGCGCCTGCGTGTTGGGTGCATCTATTGGGTATCGTCTCCTGCCCTCACGTATAGAATGAAACTAAATTCGCGCAAGAATTCTAAATAGCGTTAAAAAATAAGTCGGAAATATTATACAACATACGCGCTGTGGCGTTAGGTTTC